AAGCAGAATACAGTTATAGCTAACACCCTCCCTGCTCCTAGCCCAGCAACTTCACCACTACACTACACTGGCTCTCTTACATTATGTACAGTATTTCCAATCCATTAATGCTTCTTCATAAAGTCCACGTGTATTTTCCTCCATTTTTTCTATGCCTCCCTTTTTCAAGTTATGTATTCTGATATTATGTGTTGTTGTGAGCATTTTTCTGGGCAGTTTCCCCTCATGTATCCATATTTGTACATATATGTTGAAGATGGGGACTCCACTGAATATTTGGAGAATTATGAAGGTCAGCATATAACTGTATTCTGCTTTGCCCTTACTTTGGGGAAATGCAAATGAAAAGTTCACATAAAAATGCAAACCTAGCCCGACTGCATCCCCCATGTCTGCTGTCATCAAATATTTCAACTTCCACTTTAAACTCAGTTCTCTGCTTTATTTGCCCAAAGCTTACAACACAGTCCTCAGCGCACATCCACACAATCAGCCTCCAGTCTGTCGAGTGGCAAAAAGTATGCCAGCAGACGTGGGCTCTGCCCACAGAGCTGATCTCTCCTCTCCTCCAGCCACAGGGCTGACGAGTGCTGCTGCCCTGCCAATTGTTCCCCATAGCATGGGCTGGAGTGGGGGAGGAGTGGGTTTTGATAGGTAGCTAGAGTAGTGGGTTTAGTCATCCTTCAGAACCTGATCTGTGGGGTGGGCATTTTCCACCTCTCCTCTTTTATTGGAAAGCCTCCCCTCATCCCATCAGTTCTACCTGTGGGTTGGGTGGGCTCCCTCCAGAAAGCAGGAGAGCCTCACCTACCTCACCAAGGAGTCCAAATGACCTGCAGATGATTTCTCACTTGCTCTCTCGTTCACTTTCTTGCTTGCTCTAACACTTGCTCTTTCACTCTTTTGTTCCCTCTCTCCCTCTCACTTACCTGTCTCTCTCTCTCATTTTTTCTCACTCTTCTACTTCTCCCACTCTATCACTCTCTCACTAACCTGCTCATTTGCCTTGGCCCTTCTTCTCCCTCATCTTCCTTGCCCTCTTGTTTGTCTTTCTCATTTGCTCATTGTCTGCCTCCGGTACTTCTCATGCTCATTCCTTCATGTATTCACTCTAATGGTATATGGGAATGACCTTGGGAGACAGGAGGAAGAGATGCAGACTGGACAACAGGCATGTAAAAGCTGTCTCAGCCCACAGAAGAGGGTAGGGCATGGGAACACTTCAGAAGGAATCCTCTCTAGTTTTCCAGAGAGTAAAAAGAGAGGAGGGGAGAAATACTTTCAGATTTGCAAGATTGATGTTAGCCCTGCAAGGTAGTCCAGAGAAGAAGCACAACCACAAGTACTAGCTCTATCTTTATTGTTGCAAACATGCAGAAAGAACCTTGGTATTTGCTATGTGATTTCATGAGAAATATTATTGAAATTCAAAGGAAGAAATTAATCTTTCTTGAATCCTGACTGTTTCTAGTTTCCAAGACGAGCAAGCCCACCATCAAGACAATACCCGGAGGGTCCAGTGCTTCAGGTAGGCATCTCCCCATAGAGTCCCAGGGGCTAAGAAATGATCTGACTTTGCCCTTCGTAAATACAAATGAGGACCGTTTTGATCAAGATTGATATTAGCCCTGTGCGGTAGTCCAGACAAGAAGCACAACCAGGAATATTTGCTCCATCTTTATTGTAAGGTTACATCAACAGAATCTTGCAAGGCTGAAAGCATTTCTCCCCTCCTTTCCTTTTACACTCCAAAAACTAGGGAGGGACCCGTCTGAAGTGTTTCCCATGTCTCCCTTTCTGTGGACAGAGAAATCTTTTACATGCCTGTTCTCAGTCTGTGGCTCTCTCTCCTGTCTCCCAAGGTCATTTTCACATACCATTACATTTGCACACTCTCTTGCTGACTTGCTCTTGTCTAAAAACAGCCAACTGACACTGGTGGGATGACTCACTGCTTCACCAGCACCGCTCCACCACACAATTTGCCTGCCACCCAAGGGTTTGTTTTCTTCCTTTCTTTTTTCTTTTGCCACATGTCTAGCATGTGAGAGTACTAGATCTGTGCAAAAAAAGGAGCTACAGTAGATAAGGAGATTAGGAGCTCCTTTAATGCCTAACAAGCATATTGTGAGGCACTGACCAAGCATTACACAGGCAGAAACCCAGTGCCTGATCACATCTGCTCCCAACAAGCCAAAATGGACATGGAGAGAAGTCACCAGTGACTGAAGAAAAGGAGGGGAGGTGTTCCTGGCAGCCCCAAAGGGCCATCAGGAGCTCAGAAGATCTCAGTCCCTGCTTCATCATCACCACAGTTGCTGCCAAAGTGCCACATATGAGTAGGTGAAAATACTACTTTAACTT